TGGTGATCTATCGACAACAACTGCTTATCCCGATGGCCGTGGTTATGACCGCGCGTCGTATAATGCTCGAGGCAGGCAATCACCGTCTAGCTTCCCAGATCCCAGAGTAGATCAACAAGGTCAACAGGGTTACCAGACACCTATAGGAAATGGCTACCAAGGTCAACAGGGTTACCAGACACCTATAGGTCAACAGGGTTACCAGACACCTATAGGACAACATGGCTACCAAGGTCAACAGGGTTACCAGACACCTGTAGGTCAACAGGGTTACCAGACACCTATAGGACAACATGGCTACCAAGGTCAAAAGGGCTACAAGACACCTATAGGACAACAGGGTTACCAGACACCTATAGGTCAACAGGGTTACCAGACACCTATAGGACAACATGGCTACCAAGGTCAACAGGGTCGCCAGACACCTATAGGACAACATGGCTACCAAGGTCAACAGGGCTACCAGACACCTATAGGACACCAGGGCTACCAGACACCTATAGGACAACAAGGTTACCAGACACCTATAGGTCAACAGGGTTACCAGACACCGAGAGGACAACAAGGCTACCAGACACCTATAGGACAACGTGGGCTCCCAGACACCTATAGGTCAACAGAGCTATCAACCACCCTCACTATATGCTACACATACATCTCCTAATGGTGCACATACGCAGAGTACCGTACACGGCCACACATCACACGGGTGTTGCCACACAGGTTAGCTGGTGCAAAATATAGCAAATGGCCAGCCACTAGCAGCAACAGGGTACTCTAAAGTGGTAATGGCAGTAATTTCTTGTTATACACAGAACGAAGTAGCGATCTCCTTCCAATGTGAATTGCAATTATTCTAACTACCCTTGATTCGGTTAGGGTCACATTAAGCCATGCACTGGAGAATGTGAAAGAGCTGTCTATGCAACTGACTAGCCAACCAACGGCTTAACTCAAAAGCACTGTCTTGTAGTGCGACGACAATGCTGCTGTACAATACAGTATTGACGTTGTCGACATCATCGGAATTAATGATAATAATGCACATCACCGAGCTAAAATTGACACTGATGCTCAATTTGTGAAGTAGAAACCTGCTGTAAAATTTTTGCAGAAATCGGTGTGATGAAAGTTGTCATCGCATAACGTTGGCGGCAGTGATAGTAATATTATATTTCGTCAATTTTTGGGTGGTCAATGACAACTATTCTACAGACACATTTTTAAAGTGAGTGCCCTTGGTAGCTAAACATATACTATTCCAAATATTTTGCAACAGAGTACTCGTGTTTTTATACGCGTAAGGAATAAATAGTTAAGAGGGTATATATATATATATATATAATGTGTGTGTGTGCGTGCGTGCGGCGTGCGTGGTGTGGCGTGCGTGCGTGCGTGCGTGCGTGCGAGCGTGCGGGCGGCGGGCGGCCGCTGTGTGTGGCGGCGTCCGTGCGTGCGTGCTGTGCGTGCTTGCGCGCGCGCGAGTGTGTGTGTGTTGTATGTGTGTGTGTGTGTGTGTGTGTGTGTGTGTGTGGGTGTGTGTGTGTGTGTGTGTGTGTGTACATATATGTGCATATGTACAAGAGCGTATTAAGTATACTTAATACGCTCTTGATATGTACACATACGCGGGGAGGGTATAGAGTAGATTATATTCGCATCAAAATATGTTAGGCTGATATTTGAGTTAATACGTATGTCCGTCTCAAATGAAAATTATAATCATTACACACTAGTCGTATTGGTTAACCGGTTCTATCAATAATCATCTTTATTATTAGAAAGTTGAAAATCTCAGGCATTTAAAACTAGCACATGTAACCACAACCACGTCTACGGCAATGTGCATGCGTCACATATTAATATTTTCAGCATATCATGTCAAGTTTCATGCTTCGTCGTACTTCAATGCACGAGTTTGAAATACCTATCAATCAAAAAACTCGTATTGTGCAACCATTTTATGATGACGCTTTTCCTATACAATGTCTTAGAAAAATTCTCATAAACGCCAGAACATTATACGTAACGATAAAATCATCTATGGTAGGTGTGAGACGCATTTACGTAGATCATTTATCCATCCGGCTCTACCACTTGTCTTCAAGTAAGATGGTTTGAATATATTTACGTTTATACCTGATCAAAAGAAATTGGTGGTATTGTCTATATGTCCATGATCACTTAATTTGTAGCGCATACGTAATTCACCTGTATTGTGGCATATTTTGCGTGTATAGTAAATAAAAACAACACAACCTTCGTATGCTGATGCAACGTGATGGCATTTCCTTGCAGTTTTACTATACTACTACAGCTCAGCGGACGCATCCGAGATATAGTTCACAATGCCATGCCATGAATATTAATTTTGTCCATCAGTGTCTGCATGTCCCGCTATGTCATGCTGGATATCCCTTGCTAGTTTTACTATAAGCTTTACATAAACTTGTGTCTGCGGGCAGGATATTATACTCAAGACGCAATTCTCATTTTAGTTATCTACGGTTGTCGGATACAGAACAAACAACGTGCTCGCAGCGCAAATAAGATCACTCGGGGAAAATAGGCGACTAGGTGTAATCGCGTGACATAATCTCCAGAATTACTGACTGGGGCACATAGCAATTTAGCGAGTCATTGACGTACTAATGACAGCTACACTCGTAGGTATAAATTCTGAGAAATGAAATATCTCTAGTAATTTTTGACGTATGTACTAATTTCCGTTTAGAATCGAGACGACCGCGTTTTATCCATAGCCGTCACTCACTAACTGAATTAGTTAGCGATCTAATAATGCAGACAAGCACGCACGCACGCACGCTCAAAACGCACGCGCGCACCCGCACGCTTACGCACGTCTACGTGTGTGTCGGGTTGGAAACATACATGATGACGGATTCAGTAGTAAGTACATATCATAGACTAATTAGAACAACAAGACACGACACTTCGGTGATTTTTGCGTTACCGTGCGGTCTAGTGGTGCCACCTTGTGTTAGGTGCGTTCTCCTGCTGGAACTCTAATTGCTAACAATTACGGTTGCTTTGATATCAGTAATGATTATGAAACCAGTTTAATTATGAAAGTTTTATTCAGAAAGATTTTTAGAAAAACTGAATAAAACTTAAGAACTATAGCTTGCGATTATATTAGAAGTAAAAAAACAGGGAGAAAGCCTGGTTTTTATGTTTTTATTCATTTATAGCCTATTCATTCAAATTTGGACATGTAGGGGCCTACATGCGATATACAGGTACAGCATTAGTTATAGTAATAAGGTATAATAAAATAGTGATATTTATAATTTTTATGTCATATAAATACATGTACATCAAAAGCTATTAATACTCTATTAGCTCTTGATATATACATGTACATTATACATATTGTTACGGATTGTGTCTCGCAATAAGTTATGTTAAGTGCACCGTAATTACCGTGCTGCACAGCGCGACCGTAGACAGCCAGCTACAAGCGAAACTAGTGAGTCACGTGAGCGGAGGTTCACGGGACGGTAGCGCACACCTGTTATTTTGGCGACTCGGATTGAGCTGTTAACGTAGACGGACGTGTTTCGCAAGAATAAAGAGAAAGTAGTTTAACAGAAATTCAGCAGTTTTCGTGTCCGTATCTGGAACACATATATTTATATATATGAATATACATCAAGAGAGCTAATAATATCTTATTATATTAGCTCTTGACACACACACACAAACACACCCCCATGCGCGCGCACGCACGCACGCACGCACGCACGCACGCACACGCACACACACACTCTCTCTCTCTTTTTGTTCAAATTATATTTATTTTCTAGCTAAGGCTCTTAATTTTTGTTGAATTTGTCGAAACATCATTGCCAACATTAAAACATTCACAGTTATAGACAATGACTGATGTTTGTGTCACTTCCATCATTACCAATTACAGTTTCACCAGGAAAACGCACCTAGCGCCAGCTGGCGGTAATGCATATCCAGTACCAGACTTAAGTGTTGGCGAGATTACGCGTCACGTATCGTTTATTCTTAGTCTATGGTAATACCCTGTACAGGCTACTTATTTGATGATATCAGGAGTGGATAGTAGAGATCTCTATTATCCACTCCTGATGATATATTAAACTAAAACTAGTCTGGGCCAGGGTCGGGCTAAATTGTTTCATTATATACACGCTATCCCGGGCTAAATGCGCGCTAATCCGGAATAATTTATTCCTGCGAATAGGGGTGGGCAGCCCCGCTGCGAAGCGTGCGAGCTAAGTTATCCCGTTCTAAATTGTGTGTGTACGCAATCCGGGGCCAGGCGGCAGGCGCGAGCTAAGTTTCGATATACGCATGCGCATACTTTTCTATGAGTCACATAACGGTACAGTAGCGTGTGACATTGTGCCTGCAATTTTGTTTGTTATCTTTACTTCGTTAGAATCTAATTACAACTTGGCCAGAGGAGCTATCTAGAATGTGTATGTTTACATTTCTATTGCTGATAAAATGGCTCAATTGGATTATAATGGGATACCCAGATTCGATTATGCGCCGGTTGCAGCTTCTGCTGAGTATTAGGTCACCTGTTAATATTCTTTTTATTCTACTATTAAAACAATACAGTATATATCCTAATGATGCCCTCGGCGGTGCTGTTGTTTAACCGTCATTGCTGCCTGCTGCGTGACGTAATACGCCAAGGTGAGTCTACCTGCGTTAACTTAGCCCTGTTGAATATTTTGTGTCTGTGCGCTGCGATGCAGCGCGCGTCTGGACAAGGCCTGGCCCGGACTAATTTCATGTTTAATCAAATTTAGCAGTCTGTACTTATAAGTCAGTAGTTGCTGCATATTCAGGATGTAGCACCCAGTACTGAGCTGCTAAACGTGGTATAGTACACACAGTAGTAAACGGCAATAGAATATACAAATCTATCATTATTATAAAAATATAAATAATATACAAGATTTGTTAAGGATTCGGCTCTGCTTCCTAGAGGTTAAGGCACATTTGGTGTCTTGCACCGGTTTATTACTGTGGGAAGCTACAGTTGCATTTAGGTGCATTGAGTAACCGATCTCAGCAGTAAATCCTATCTCTCAGTGTATATACATAATACATGTGGTTGCTACTCATAGAAAGCAATGTCGTATGGCTTTCGACTATGTGCACATGGTCTGCTTGCTCGGTGTGCTAGGACGATGACAAGTACGCTCGTGCAAGATCAACGCTGCCTATCTCCTTCACAAGCTGCAGCAGTCGGGGGTTGTCTTTCCAGCGGGTGTCATCTTCAACCTTCGTGGAAATCACGTCGGCTAAGACCCGCGTGTATAGAGGACGTTGCTCCTTCGTCTTTAGCTTATAGTCTAGGGAATTTATTCCATCCTTGTGAGAGTGGTTCAGGTTTTGCGTTAGAATGCTGTGTCTGCAAATAAAGACCAGTGAGAACGACTGGGAGACAATTTTGTCATCAATTCAGAGTAGATATAGGTAAAAAGTTTAACCACTAAGTGATAGCAACACTCACACAAACACGCATAAAATATTAACATATCAAAACAAACATATATCATCCTATCGCCAATATCACTTCAATGTTTATCGACTGATTAACTACAGCTTGATATATTTATTAATTTATTATTTATTAATTTATTTAATTAATTAATTGATTGGGATTGATTGACTTGTTGACTGGTTAATCGATCAATCGATCACTCAATTAATTTGTTAATTGATGCAGTGATTGGTTGGTTGGTTGGTTAATTAATATATTTAAGGGCCTATTTATTTATTTATTGAATAATTAATTAATTATTTGATTAATTAATTAATTAATTAAATGAATGAATGAATGCATGTATAAATGAATGAATTAAAAAAGATTGAGTGAATGACCGGTTGATTGATTGATTAATTGATTGATTGATTGATTAATTGATTGCTTGCTTGATTGATTGCTTGCTTGTTTGCTTGATTGATTGATTGATTGATTGATTGATTGATTGATTGATTGATTGAATGATTGAATGATTGAATGAATGAATGAATGAATGAATGAATGAATGAATAAATAAATGAATAAATGAATGAATGAATAAATGAATGACGCACAGGCGGACGGACAGACGGATTGATGATTGGATGAATTAACGTTTCAACAAACAGGTGAACAGACAAAGAAGACATGAATGGTTGGAATCAAATGCGTTTCTGTGCGTACCTTTCTCTATTCTTCACAGCTGCTTTGTGGGATAGCATTCTATATCTTGCAAACCGTTCAGGATATCTCGTTATAATCAAGTTGTGCTTTCGCAATCTGAAATAAACCACCATCAGAGCGGAAAAGTTTCAGCAGCCTCACTTGACTAGTTTAATCAATATTCTTATTAATTTATGCGTCTATCCATTAGTTATGTGGGCCTCGTGCATGGTTATAGTGTCGCACTATAAGGGTCAATAGTATTATGGGCTCTTGGTTAGACGTGCATTGCCTTCTGTCAAAGCTGAAAGCAACGTATTTAACAAGGGAATGGCTATCGCTGACATACGCTGGTCATACGGGTTCTCTGCCGTTTTCTAGAACTATACCTACTTTGCATGAAAGCAACACCACACCTGATATGCTAGCTGATTTCCTGGCATTGTCGCCTGATAGACCGATATAGTTTATTTAATCAAATTTGTTGTTATAGTGTCGTGTAATTAGTTATCTGAATGTGTATTTCAAGCCTACGTATAAATTAATGTATAATTTTAATTAATCTATTCATCGTTGTAGCGTAGTCTATATATAGTCCTTCTCTTGACGTAGTGTTAACAGTAACTACGTACTCGCTTTTGTGATTCAAGACGCCCTACATTACAAGTAGATGCATACGATCAGATTCCACGATAGATTTTAATATGTGTCACACAATAACGTGCGTAAAACTTCGAAATCCTATAATCGTTTACAATATCTAGAACGCTTTATACATTAATTCCATACGGCTATTCATGAGATACGCGTGAGATACATGTTCAAAAGCACCGCCGGCTTGCCATAAGAGCTCAACCAGTTTATAAATGTCAGCAGTATAATGTGTGAAAATGGAACAAACGGTCATATCGGCGTGCGTTGCATTAAAGCAGCCGCTAGTGTTTTGTGAATGGCGGCTATTAAACCACGCCCCCTCCCCCACCGACACTTTGCACACCTTGTAGACATGTCGTCATCTTCGCCACCCCAGCCAAAAAATACGTTCGAGAATCCGTTCACTTTCTCAAACATTTCTCGACTGATCGCGCTCGCTCCGCCGAATATGTCGTCATACGGCAGACTGAAAAGAAAATGACAACCCGTTAGTGCTAGTACATACCATTGGTGGTTGTGTAATTCGCCGGAGGCAAGACCGCGTGGTACCCTTTGTATTCGGGATGCATAGATTACGCAAACTGATACAATTCGAAGGTAAACTGCATTGCGTAGCGGGCATCGCTATCAGCTATCGTTGCACGGCGTCCGAATATCCCGATCCCGATTACATTTTTTATCCGGATTGCTGATATCCCTACGACAGTGGCAAAACTGTAACGATCCCTGCTGTAGCAGGATATCGAGTGCGGCTATGTAGTAGTTGATACTATGGTATTTGCTATAACACGAGGTAGAACATTTTCGCGACTAATTTAGCCGCAATACGTATCTCGCCCCCTGTTCAATGAATCGTGGGTTAATCGGATCCTTTTGAGAAACCGGACATCCCGACCAAAATCTGATTGGCGCTTGTTGTTAGACAACTGCATGGTGCCTGCAATTCCGATACACTAAGACGACTTAATTAATCTCTGTGGAAAGTTTATGAGCTTATAATAACTACAAATAAAATGATTGCCCTAAAAAAAAATATTGTGCTTACCTATAACGAAACTTATCGATAGCCACCGATAGATGTCGCGGATGGTCTGGACATGAGTATATGTTTCTATCATCTTCCGGAACCAAATCCACGTCGTGAAAGATAAAGCACTGCCAGTCATAATCTTTTATTGACTCTGCATAGCCGATGTTGAAGAGTTTTGCTCGGTTAAACGCAGTTCGTCCAGCCTAAAAATAAACTGCATTAACAATTGCAATCTTGTTATCAGTTCCAATGACGTACCGATGACGTCAGTGACCTCTGTGACGCTACTCTAGCCCGACACAATCCTCTCTCATGAATTAAGTCCGACCGTTCTTCCTGATGTTAATCTCTTGTCAGTGCTATCTCATAGTACAAAAACAGTGATTTCACAACTGCTGCTGATGCTGCTAAACAATACGTTTAAAATTAATACTTTTTAAATCAAATTTAATTGTCTAAATCTAAAAAACGTACTCCCGAATAGAAAACATTCACGCAATCTAAAGATAAATCACATAACGTGTTGAGATTCACACTAAAAGTAGGTAAACGGAAAACACCTAACCTGTTCGACTATGTAAATTCCGTAATCTAATTGCTGCCTCATCAGAAAAGGATGCATATTTTGAAGGAATAGCCGCAGATGATCATCCCGGTCCCTGTATGGTACAATGATGGCCACACGATGGCGTGACGTGCAGCCTTCCGGTTTGTACCGGCCACCTTTCTCTACTAGTAGATTTCTCTCCAGCCAATTCCACGGCGCCGGGCCTCTCTTTATCACGTGAATGGGGCCAACTGTTGGTTTGGAAAATTCATTATTCATTAATAGATCAATCGTTGCCCAATGGATGCCAGGTGGGAGGGGCCGAATTATGGCAACAGGGGGGTAATATCTCACAATTATGACGGAAAAAACAATGAAGAGGAAAAGAAGACGAAAGGAAGATGATGATAAAGAAAGATCTTAGTTTATCAACATTCGTATCAATTTATAATATGCGATAACAAATGTAAATACTTACTTAACTCAGGTGAGACAACAGGGCATAAGGGAAGCGTTGTGCCGACTGACGAACCATTTTCACGGAGAACAGAAAATGGCGGCGTCTTCAGGCGACTGCTTTTGCTGCCAGTTCCGGCAGTCGCGTTCAAGTTTGCTAAGCTGTTTCCATTACGTAGTCCGATTGCCAGCACCCTCAGCCGATGTTCCGTGGTGGTCATGACGTAATACTGCAGCAGTATTAGCAGGATGAGCGCGAAGACAGAAATCTTCAATATGTTTTGATTGCGCTTCGTATTGGCGCACAAGCTCCTTGGACTCATAGCGGAAACGGTTATAAGTATTCAGTTAGAAGGCCGTCACTGCCCGTCGGTGAATTGTAATTCCTCATAGACGAAATCTGTGTCCGGCTTGCGGCTGTCAAGTAACCTGGTTCATTCCCGCGTTGTTTCAACCTGAAATGTTCACGATCGTTTGCTCTACCTCATGATTTACATAATTGACGTAATATTTATTGGCCTCGCGTCAATATAGATGCGAAAAGGCGATTGGCTGTAGCAGGTTGAAATCAGTTAGCTTTATGCAAACAACATATGCACTGTAAGATGTACTTGATTTGGAATTCGACGCGTGCGTTTTGTTCTTGTCACTATTATATACACTAGCAGACTTTAATACCATAGTCCAAGAGCATTAGCTCAAATATGGCCAAACCCGGACATTTTTCAAAACAAGCTGAATTTTTCAGGATAGGTTCAGAAAAATGTGTAGAATAGCATACTAGAAGTCCCCAGAAATCCCCTTTGTGCGTTTTCCAGAATCCAAGATGGCGTCAAAAATTGCCGCCATTTAGGGTTTTCCCCATAACTCTGGCTCCAGTCGAGCTAGAAACATGAATTAAATGCCTAATTATGTGTTTTAATGCCCAAGGAATCTACTTAGGTACTTTTTGTGAGGTTTCAAGTGATGCCTAAGTCCCCTAATCCAAAATGGCCGCCATTTTTTAATACTTTGACGCGCCTTTTTCCCGCGCCGTACATGCTCACATCCTCACTTTAGCTGCTCTCATAAGTGTCTTGATAGATGCACCAGGCACATTGGATAGTGTTGACAAAGCCCAACTCAGACACCTCTACGAGGCCCTTCTTGACAATGATCAAGCTGCCACCGACCTAGCAGAGGAGGAGTGTGTGAAGCAGTTGAGCCAGATCATTTCACAACTCTTTGAACATACTTCAAGTCTGAGCAGGACCGGTAAGCTGTGGGTACAGTACATCCAACAAGTGGCTCTTCTACAACATTTCATTTGAGCCGAAAGGACAGGGGACTGGAAGCTCCATCTCTACTATAGATGGAAAATACCGCAATCTATCTATCTATCTATCTATCTATCTATCTATCTATCTATCTATCTATCTATCTCTCTATGTGTGTATCTATCCATGCATGCATCCATCCATCCATCCATCCAGCCAGCCAGCCAGCCATCCATCCATCCATCCATCGCATGTCATGCCATGCCATGCCATGCCATGTCATGCCATGCCATCCCATGCCATCCCATGCCATCCCATGCCATCCCATGCCATCCCATGCCATCCCATCCCATCGCACCGCATCCTCTCCCATATCCCATCCCATGCCATCCCATGCCATCCCATGCCATCCCATGCCATCCCATGCCATCCCATGCCATCTCATCCTATCCCATCTCATCCCATCCGGGCTCCCATCCCATGCCACCCCATGCCACCCATGCCATCCCATCCCAAACAATAAAAAATAATAATAAATAATATAAAAATAAAAATAATAATAAATAATAATAGTAGTAAATAATAATAATAGTAAAAAAAATAGTAAAGTATTTTTTCCAATTTTTAACTTTTTAATTCTCCCTTTGTACATGAATCTACGTAAATCTTTCTTTTTTTAATTTAGAAATGAATCTGAAGTGGCGAGTACATACATAAAAGATTATAAAAATCGAAGAAAATTTTTTTCCCCAGCTGAGATCTCATTCGACCCGGAATCTCGTGGTTAATGAAATCCGAGCTGCTACCCGACTTACGCTACGGGCGGCCGTCGAGATAGCGCATAGATTCCGAAGTACGTGATGATAGAATTTTGACTTAATACACTTTTTTTACTTTTTAACTGTTCTTAAATTTTTGTCTCAGCCCCAGAACCAATCTGCCAGACGTGGTAATTCTTGAATTATCGTTCAGTTACCGCGTTGAAGTGAAAAATTCACGGAGAAAGCGAGGTCAAACAAAACACAGCACCCAGATTTAGCCTCCTTTATAGTACTGTGTAAGGATGTGGATATTGCTGCGCGTATGCCTCCGTAACCATCAGTTCAATTGGCTTTGTGATTAATCGCGTACACGAAAAACAATAACAGACACCTCGTTAGACGTTGCCTTGGTTTAGTATTCACATGCTTTGTAACGAGAAAAAATTACACATGCGCTGTAATTTTTCGTCCTCCTCACCACGCATTGAAAATAAATACTCGGACTAGTGTAACAGATTAATTGTGATTATGCCTACGGCGTTTGCTCTATCATGCGTTTACTTACAATGCTACACATTTTCCACTAGACGCTTAACGCCGGCCATGATGCCCGTAGGCGGCCTCGCGGGATTGACACTTTGTGTCTTCCAATCACAGTCTACGCGCCCCCTTAATACTTCTCCTTCCAGCTATGAATACCCTATTGCGGCACGTGATTCGCCGATCTCACGGAACTAGGGCATTTGCTAGGCGCTAGAACGGTTTCCTACGATAGAGTTATGGCACAAAAACGAAGATAACACGCCGTTCTAAAGCGGCGCGGACTAAGTCTACGTACTTATTGCTTGCATTTTAGCATCTCACGTAATAAGCAATAAGCCCGCCTGTCTTCGTTTGGATGGGCATGAATGGGGTCTGTCACCGACGTGAGCCGGTTGCCTTTCCGGGCAGCCCAGCCGTTTTCTTTTTGTAAGCAATAATGAAATTGCCGGCCCCCGGCCCTACTGTATTGTCGATCACAGCGCAAAATGTTCCTTGCATTTTTACTTGCTGTCGAACGTCCCTCCACCGTGAAGCGAGTGCGTCGCATTCATTAAAACCACACATCAATGAAAACACACCACAATTAATGTTCGCGAGCACTGATCTCTACTTATACTTAACTGGATAGCTCTTAGCCCTATCACAATGTGACGCCACCGCGCCACCGGCGCGCCATTTGCCCAACCACTCCTTAAAGCTGATCTTGCCGGTCTGCTGCCGCCACACATTTCAAATAAAAATGTAAGAAAATGCGACTTTATCTCTATTTATTCAAATTAGGCATGAAAAAAAACTTTGATCAATACCTTTAAGAGATCATAAAGCTCATGGATATGTATATATCTAGTTAGTAAGTATATCGATTATTTCTCTTTCATTCGTAGCTGTATATAATCATAGATATTATACATATCCATATTTATATAATTCTCTTAATAGTTGGTCAGAAAGGTATTTTTATCATGCTTAATTTGGAATATAGAATAAGTCCGCATTTTCTTATCTCTCTCTCCATTTGCGGAAACTGTTGTGGGCCGCCCCCGCCCGCACCCCAGACCGCAGATTCAGGCCTTTGAGGAGTGGTTGGCAAGCATGGCGAGCAGGTGGCGCGGTGCGGTCAACATTCAACGTTTCGAGGTGGACTGGGCTAAGAGCGCTATCCAGTTAGTATAGTAGAGTATCAGTGGTTCGAGGCAATATCCGAGGATTAATGTTACATGCACAGCGCCATCTCCTCTGAATGGATGTATTTATAAGTAAATATGGGAGATTTTTAATAAATAATGGCGTTTTATATGTATTTACCACAATTCTACGTATAGAAATAATATATGTTATTTTTTGCTGATTTCTCCGTATCTTTTGTTCCTTGGACGTTTCATCTCTTTTCAATGCCTTTCGGGCAGGTTTTCTCTGCGTGATTATTAATTTTGCGCCAGGCACTTCCTTTTGGAAATCCTCCAACATTTTTTTACTTCTTCCTTAGTTAAGTTAGTCATCTTTCAGCTGTTATTAGGAAGGACGGTTCACAACTGTGCATTCGTAATATTTTTACTCTTGCTTCTATGTATGATTTTCCATGGATGTTGCTCTTCTGCCCACGATAATCATTTCCCTCATCAATGAACCCTGTAGAGGGCGACTCTACATCCATAGTGCGTTATAGACCTTCTATTCATGTAATTAAATCCCCTAGGTATTGAATATTTTGGTGCCATGGTTTTTTTAATACGTTGGTATGCCTGCCGGTATGTCAATTCTCTATCTTTCTTTGTTTGTGAATGTTATGGAACCATTGTAGTTCGTGTTTTGGTTGATATTAAATTCTGAATCTTTTTGATCAGTAAGTCTGGAGGAATGGACTGTGGACCACAATTTTTGTTACCGGGTTCTTATAATCTCCAATTCCTACAAATATCGTCTAAGATATAATGCACTTGTCATCTTCATAAAAACGACAGAAACATGCCGCTGCCGCCTGTGGAGACGTGACGTCGTGGCGCCTCGTAATCTTGCGACGCTCTCCAGCTGCGGGCACGCCTCATAATTAACAACATCCCAGCGGCGTTCGCGTGCGACGATATCCGCGCGGAACTGGGCTGCTTCATCGCCGCGCGCAGCGCTCCAGGATCTACAGCAAAGCTGTGCCACGCAATGCTTGTATCATCGGTACCTTTTGAGTTACGATCCACAGAATTATTACCAGCCCATTGACGCAAATAAAGAGCGCCATGATAGCGTGAAGTGTTATCGCGGGTACGTTAGTTATAGGTTTATAGGGCGAGGTGCCACTCTACTCTAAAAGTGAAATGATTGCACTACTAGCGCCACCTTGCAACCTGGTTGTACACATGCACTACAGAGAATTATAGAACCTATAGAATTATAGAATTATAGAATTATATTACCTATTATAGACTCCCTGAAGTTATACACACTTTACGAATCATAGAATTAACGCATGCCAACATATTCCCGGAGTCTTGTCCGCTCCCCGAATACAGCCTCCTGTGATAGCAATCAAATGCTTCAGTAAAACACACGAACTGTAGCGTATACGGCGAGACGATTGCTACTTATAGGTGTTGAAAGGATCTTTCGAGTGTGGCCACATTTGCAAGAGACGCGGAGTTTTACAGACACTCTAACATGGACTGCGTAACGGACTAGTGCGTGTGATTACGCGCCACATCCTTACTGGGCCATGCTGATACGAGGTGGAACAGGCGGCGATGGACCCTGCCGCAACTAGATGCTCGCAGAGTTAGGTACGCCTCGAATGCCACGGTACGCGGGAACGAAGTTCGCGCTTTGCGATCTCTGCTACGACAGGCAGTTACTATTGCTTCTCCTACGTTGTTACTACACCGCCTATGCGTTGCGTTTCTATGTCCTATATACGCTACAATTTAGGCCTTACGGCGCCTTATTCTATGCCTCATACGTTGTATTCTTAGTCTTGTGCGTTTTACTCCGGGTCTCGACGTTGCATTGCAAGTGTTTCATGGTAATATAGCCATTGTAAAAATTAAATTCTGCGTTGGGTAGTCGTATGGATATAATGCAGGGTCAATTCGTTCATTTGCGCCGTAGCACTTTTATTCTTCGTCGTTTCTATAGCATTGTCTTACTCTATTTAGCCGTTTTGGCAGACGCCGCTGACGAGCCGATTTCGACGAGCGCGATCGATTTACATGGAGATATGTATGAGCGACGTTAGCTAGTTAATAAGGCTCTAAATGCCCATGCTAGCCTTGGTTCCGTACGGTGGCCTTGGTTCCGTTTCACCATTGTTGAGCCGGTTAGAATGAGCACTGATCATGC